CAAAATGTGTTGTAGATGTATCAGAGTTGTAAGAAGTCTGTAGCAATGGACAGCTGCATATCAATACCCAAATCCTGAGAACAATAAGAAAGAGAGAAAAAAAGAAAAGATAAAAGGAAAAAAGGGAAGAAAAATAAAAGCAAGATTTCAGGAAGAACTGTCAAAAGGACCCTAAGGCCTGGATCACACCTGGGCGTTTTACAGCGCGTTCCTACGCGCTATAAAACGCTCAACATGTGAAAACCAATGATTGCCTATGGGCATGGTTCCCACCTGGGCGTTTTACAGCGCGTAGGAACGCGCTGCAAAACGCCCTACGCCCAAAGAAGTACAGGAGCTTCTTTGGGGCGTATTTGCCGCAGGTATCCATTAGGATAGCCCTCGGAAACGTGCGTTTGTTGCGTGTTTTTTAAAAACGCGCAGCAAACGCGCATATCCGGTACGCCTAGGTGTGAACCCAGCCTAAGGGCTAGTTCACACCAGCCACAGTGCGTTCCGGCCCGATTGCGGCTCACTTTGCTGTGGGGCGAGACGGTGTATTGAAGTGGATGGCACTGCAGCCCACGCCTTCCGGCCGCAATGCGATCGCCCACACGTGAACGCGTGGCCGGAGGGAGTGGCTGCGGTGCCTGCATCTTGGTATAACTACTTCAGCGGCCAGCCGTATATGTACAGCCACCGGCAGGAAGTAGTTAATCACCACTGGGGGATTTTTATCTTTTACTATGTACCGAAAATTATAAAGGAAAAAAAGAAAAAACTGTTTTCGCTACGTTCGTTATGTTACGAAACATTTATTATTGTCCAATTTTTGGGTAAAATATAAAAGACGGGGTCACGTCGGGTAAAAAGACACCAAACATGTCAAGCTTTAGAATTGCGCGCAGCCGCAAAAAACGACCATACCCAAAATAGGCCATAGGGGACGCTTTCAAAGCTTTTACTGCTCATCAGTTCAGTGTTATCAGTGATTGATGGGCCTAAAATTATTGCTCTCACTGCGAGATTTGCGGTGATATGTAACATGTGCGGCGTCATTTGTTTTCGCACATAGGCGCGCCTGATGCGTATTTACGTTTATATGTGCTTGCATGCAGAGGGACTTCAATTTTTTTTGTTTTTTAACTTTTTTTTTGATATGCGACTTTAAATTTTCTATTTTTTTTTTTACTTTTAGTTTTTTACACTTAAAAGGAGAATTATGAGGCGAGTGAAAATCACTCAGCCTCATAGTTCGAGCCGACGTGTGACACTGAAACTGTCACAGGTCAACTCAATAGATCACCAAGTGAGGGAACACATAGCGTCGCTCGCTCACTTCTCTACCCTGTCCCTGCAGAGAGTCGTGACTGTCGGTCACGGCTCCCTGCAGGGATTACCCCCGTCCGATCCTCCAGCGCTGACAGGAGGAACGAACGGGGGAGGGGGCAGGTACAGCTGGCTCTGCCTCTGGATAGGCAGAGCCAGCTGTCACTCACACAGCTGGGTGGATTGAGACATAATTGTCGGGATCTGTCCCGGCTGCGGCGGTCTCAGTATACCGTGAGCTGTAGCTAGCGATATTATGAGCTTTGGGTCACGGGAAGACGCTAGTTTATGTCCTCCCGTGACTTTGAGGAGAACTATGGGGAAAAACACTTAACTTTAACTCCTTTAACTGTATTGCTATCACATAGGGGGCTAACAAGCTAGGCAAATACAATGACTGGTCCATTTATGGAGGCTGCACTGTGTCATCATACAAGTGGTCGGGTTGCTATAGAGCATCCAGAATGCTTGTATGTCACAGCCAGCACCGGCTGTCAAAGAATTGTGCGGGATTGTGCTCGGGTGCAAGCGGAAAAAAAATAAATCACGTACATACATGTCCACCGTCCGCCCGTGTACTTACAAAAGGGAGAACATTACTATTCTACATTGTTTGATCTTTAATAGCTTGTTGGAGCTTTTAGGAGTTGTACACTGCTGGTGTATAGAATATAACATGCAAGTGGCATACGACACCACTCCTAATGCAAGCCTATGATGCTAAAGCACAAATAAAAGTATACATTGTTTCAGCAACTTAAAGACCTCCACCCAAGCCTATAAATTCTGTGTTACTGTGCTTATCTATACATTTCCAATGTAAAGATCCAGCACCATAAAGTCCCTCCATTAATCTCTTCACCTTGGGGCACACCCTGTTGCCTGCCTCATTGTCAGAGGATTCTACAAAGTCGTCATCAATGCTAACACACAAGGTCTGAAGGGCATTGGTGCAAGCATGGAAAGAAAGGACAATGTCAGAGGAACTTCTCAGCGCTTGATCTCATTCACATAGGCGGTAAGCGCCAGCGAACAGCAAGAATCGGTGTATTGCTGCGGCTGGGATCACGGGTGGTTGCGGATAGCTGAGGCTGTTCAGCCTGTTCAAGTCAATGACAGGCAGACTGGTTTCGCAGCTGTTCGTGCTACTCACATGTATCCGCACATCCAGAAGTTACATGCCGTTAGGGACAATGAGTGACTCTGGACACAAACTGGCAGTGCTCAGGGTCACACATCTTAACTATTACCAACAATGTATCTTATTTGTGTATCACTCGGCTGTAGATCCTCCAATCATCTCTGAATTGGTGCTGACACTGTCCTTCCTTCTGGAGGGGGGCTACTTTTGTTCCCCATGGTCCCTGTGTGTGTGTTGTAAACTAGCCACCGCTCCAGCTCACTCCTGTGATGGACTACAAACTCAGTACAAATTAGTAAACTAAACATGACATTGTAGTCCATCATAGGAGCGAGCTTGGACCGGTGACTACTTTACAACACACACAGGGAAAAATGGCCTGGACAGGAAGGGGGTGCAACACCCCGGTCAGCAAGTGGTTAAGATTTAACTCCTGAGTTTAGTGTCACTTTAAGGCCTCATTCACACAGCTTAAACTCAGGCCGTTCAGATCCGTGCGGCGTGCAGGGCCGTATCAGGCCGTTCCCGGGAAGGACAGGTGCTGCGTGTGATTGTACCCAACAGCCTGTTCTTCTCTATGGGAGTACGCGGCCGTACGCTCACCCGAGCAGGCGACAGGATGGATCCGGTCTGCGTCCTACCACGGACCCCCCACATGGATGTGCAGCTCAGGTGAGCGTACGGCCGCGTACTCCCATAGAGAAGAACAGGCTGTTGGGTACAATCACACGCAGCACCTATCCTTCCCGGGAACGGCCTGATACGGCCATGCACGCCGCACGGATCTGTACGGCCGACTCTAAAGCTGTGTGAATGAGGCCAAATTGTTCTTAGTTGTAGGTCATCCAGTAAGATTATTATTATTGGATGGGAAATACTCACGTATTCTCGAACATTCTTGGTTTTGACAGCTTTGTAGGATGAATATGCCGGGTACAGCAAACCGAACACAAGGCTGTGAAAGGAAAACAATAATGATGAGATTGGAATAGACATTGGCATAGAATGTGCAAAACAATTCAAAAGGCTAAAAAAAAGGTCTAAAAATAAAGTGCACACTACGGAGGCCTTGTACAGACGGGTGCTGGTCCATCACGTGTTTATACTATTCTGTACCCAGCACACGGAAGGCTCATACAATGTGCACACCCAGCAATGTACACAATGCTGTGACTGTACACCAACAAGGAATTACCTTTCTATGCCTACGTCGGCCTAACGAATATCGAATGCTTCAAGATACACTGATATCCTCTGCTTCGTGTTGCCTCCAGTAGAGGTATACAGAGGATTGGGGACACCTATCTGTATCATACGACTACCGCCGGCTGCTTCGTGTTGCCTCCAGTAGAGGTATACAGAGGATCGGGGACACGTATCTGTATCATACGACTACCGCCGGCTGCTTCGTGTTGCCTCCAGTAGAGGTATACAGAGGATCGGGGACACGTATCTGTATCATACGACTACCGCCGGCTGCTTCGTGTTGCCTCCAGTAGAGGTATACAGAGGATCGGGGACACGTATCTGTATCATACGACTACCGCCGGCTGCTTCGTGTTGCCTCCAGTAGAGGTATACAGAGGATCGGGGACACGTATCTGTATCATACGACTACCGCCGGCTGCTTCGTGTTGCCTCCAGTAGAGGTATACAGAGGATCGGGGACACGTATCTGTATCATACGACTACCGCCGGCTGCTTCGTGTTGCCTCCAGTAGAGGTATACAGAGGATCGGGGACACGTATCTGTATCATACGACTACCGCCGGCTGCTTCGTGTTGCCTCCAGTAGAGGTATACAGAGGATCGGGGACACGTATCTGTATCATACGACTACCGCCGGCTGCTTCGTGTTGCCTCCAGTAGAGGTATACAGAGGATCGGGGACACGTATCTGTATCATACGACTACCGCCGGCTGCTTCGTGTTGCCTCCAGTAGAGGTATACAGAGGATCGGGGACACGTATCTGTATCATACGACTACCGCCGGCTGCTTCGTGTTGCCTCCAGTAGAGGTATACAGAGGATCGGGGACACGTATCTGTATCATACGACTACCGCCGGCTGCTTCGTGTTGCCTCCAGTAGAGGTATACAGAGGATCGGGGACACGTATCTGTATCATACGACTACCGCCGGCTGCTTCGTGTTGCCTCCAGTAGAGGTATACAGAGGATCGGGGACACGTATCTGTATCATACGACTACCGCCGGCTGCTTCGTGTTGCCTCCAGTAGAGGTATACAGAGGATCGGGGACACGTATCTGTATCATACGACTACCGCCGGCTGCTTCGTGTTGCCTCCAGTAGAGGTATACAGAGGATCGGGGACACGTATCTGTATCATACGACTACCGCCGGCTGCTTCGTGTTGCCTCCAGTAGAGGTATACAGAGGATCGGGGACACGTATCTGTATCATACGACTACCGCCGGCTGCTTCGTGTTGCCTCCAGTAGAGGTATACAGAGGATCGGGGACACGTATCTGTATCATACGACTACCGCCGGCTGCTTCGTGTTGCCTCCAGTAGAGGTATACAGAGGATCGGGGACACGTATCTGTATCATACGACTACCGCCGGCTGCTTCGTGTTGCCTCCAGTAGAGGTATACAGAGGATCGGGGACACGTATCTGTATCATACGACTACCGCCGGCTGCTTCGTGTTGCCTCCAGTAGAGGTATACAGAGGATCGGGGACACGTATCTGTATCATACGACTACCGCCGGCTGCTTCGTGTTGCCTCCAGTAGAGGTATACAGAGGATCGGGGACACGTATCTGTATCATACGACTACCGCCGGCTGCTTCGTGTTGCCTCCAGTAGAGGTATACAGAGGATCGGGGACACGTATCTGTATCATACGACTACCGCCGGCTGCTTCGTGTTGCCTCCAGTAGAGGTATACAGAGGATCGGGGACACGTATCTGTATCATACGACTACCGCCGGCTGCTTCGTGTTGCCTCCAGTGGAGGTATACAGAGGATCGGGGGACACTTATCTGTATCATACAACTACCGCCGGCTGCTTTGATACGATCAATTCATAAAATCACTCGGGATCACTTTATTTCACCACTCCTGTCCCACATTCAGAGCAGCTCATGTTACTAAAGAGACCGACGCCATGCAAATCATGACTCAAAGAGCTGAAACCTCCCTCCTGCGTCCTCTGTATACTAATAAAACAATATATGGACATCATATTAAATCACAATAGAATGAATGGTAAATACATAAAGTTATTGCTGCCATTGTTACTCTGCGGCTGGAAGATATACGGCAGGCAATAAAGAGCCAACCAGCTGCAGACCCAGTCATAGGCTGGCCGTCTGTAAATGACATCTATGAGGTCGGGTGTAACTGCAACAGCAGCAGATTCTTAAAGCTGAACCCCGATCTTCCCTTCAGTCTTGTCGTACCGGCTGTGATCCTGGACTGAAATTGCTTACACTGTTCTCACTGCACACTGTCAGCTTTCCATAATGTGCATTAGAAGCTGCAGCGAGGCATCCTCCAGCCAGGAAATGAGGCGGGCTCTATCTTAGTTGCTGCAGCTTCTAATGCACATTGTCAGAAGCTCAGAGCGTGCGGTGATATCAGAGGAAGCCATTACAGTCCAGGAGAGGAGCCGGTACGACCGTACAAGACCGAAGGGAAGGCCGGAGGGTCAGATACAAGACCGAAGGTCGGATACAAGACCGAAGGGAAGGCCGGAGGTCGGATACAAGACCGAAGGGAAGGCCGGAGGTCGGATACAAGACCGAAGGGAAGGCCGGAGGTCGGATACAAGACCGAAGGGAAGGCCGGAGGTCGGATACAAGACCGAAGGGAAGGCCGGAGGTCGGATACAAGGCCGGAGGTCGGATACAAGACCGAAGGGAAGGCCGGAGCTCGGATACAAGACCGAAGGGAAAGCCGGAGGTCGGATACAAGACCGAAGGGAAGCCCGGAGGTCGGATACAAGACCGAAGGGAAAGCCGGAGGTCGGATACAAGACCGAAGGGAAGGACGGATCTCGGATACAAGACCGAAGGGAAGGACGGATCTCGGATACAAGACCGAAGGGAAGGACGGATCTCGGATACAAGACCGAAGGGAAGGACGGAGGTCGGATTTAAGGACTCACATTAAAACAAAAGATCTCATAAAAGCTTTATGAATGTCGCTGAAATGTTCCCATTACTTTTCTGGCTTTTACAGGCAAATATAAACTGGTGACAACCAGCAAATACAATAATGTCTCCTGCCCCATCTAGATGAACTTGGCTTCAAAAGACGCCATTTAAAGTTTATGTAAAACCATTTTGTACGTTTTGAATAGAGTGGAATGTTTATTGCCATCTCTGCTGGGGACAATCACCCTCACTACTGGTCCTGGTGACTACGGCCTGCTACAGGAAGTGATGGGAAATGAAACATTTCAAAGTAGTCACCGGAACAGGGGAAACCCATTCACATAACTGGTCTCTGTTGTTTAACAGGAGAGATTCCCTCGTTTTGGCGTTATGTCCCCTTACTTCCTGTATGTTCTTTTGAGCCAGGAAGTGAAGGGAAATCTTCCAACTAGAACACAGGGAAAAAAGAAAAACAAAATCTGACATGGGTTTCAACTAGGGATGCACCAATACTGGGCATTTTCACCCGTACTTTTACCCGTGAAAATGCCCCGATAGTAAACACCAATACCGGCGCTTTCAATGTTTAAACTGAAGCAGTTGCATAGGGTCCTACACTGGCTGGGGACCTCGCGTCAGCCATTCTGGGGACCACACAGAGCTGCTTACAGTGCTTCTACCGCCAGCACCCACCCGCAAGAGCCTACGGACCCCTAGACATCAGGCCGGCATCCCGCAGCAGCAGCACAGTGGTAGCAAGATATTATTCTGCATTGCAGTATAAAGTATTGCTGGTGGTATTATAATATTACTATCAGCTATAGAGAACTACAAATCTCAGCAATAAATAATACAGCAATAAAGGATCATCTCTGAATTGGTGCGGAAATTGTCCTTCCTGGAGGGGGGCTACTCTTGTTCCCCATGGTCCCTGTGTGTGTTGTAAAGTAGTTACCCGCTCCAAGCTGCCTCCCGGGATGGACTACAATCTCAATACAAATTAGTAAACTAAATATGAGATTGTAGTCCATCCCGGGAGTGAGCTTGGAGTGGTGACTACTTTGCAACACACACATGGACCATGGGGAACAAAAGTAGCCCCCCTCCAGAAGGAAGGACAGTGTCAGCACCAATTCAGAGATGATTGGAGGATCTACAGCCAAGTGACACACATATACTGAGTATATGTGTATGGTATACTGAGACGCCGAAGCGGATCCCGACATCCATGTCGAGATCCGCCCAGCTGCGTGAGTGACAGCTGGCTCTGCCTATCTAGAGGCAGAGACAGCTGTACCCGCCCCCTCCCCCGTCCGATCTGCCAGTCAGCGCTGGCAGATCGGAGCGGGGAGGGGGGAATCCAGCCCCTCCCCTGTCACGGCAGAGAGCCGTGACAGGATCGAGAGGTGAGCAAATGCCGGTATGTGTTCGCTCACCTCCCAATCTACTGACCTGACCTGTGACAGTCTCATTGTCACAGGTCGGCTAGAACTATGAGGTGAGTGAAAAGCACGCACCTCAGAGTTCTCCTTGAACGCCTGAGTTTAGCGTCACTTTAACCTTCTTTTGGTCACAGTAGGGATCAATGCACCGTATCGTCTGACCGGGCCTTCATGTTTCAAATGCAAACGGAAGCAGCAGAACTCTTCCTTGGGTGAAGCCTGCGGTGACTCACTCATGCTGTCCGTACACATTGCATTGGATGAGTAACATTTCTGTGAAGTACAATTACCCGTCTCTGCTGTGAATAAGCTCAATAAGTGATTATTATGTTTTCTTTTTATATACGACGGAATACACGGACACAGGTCTGCCCTAGGATTGAAATATG